CCTGAGAGCGCAGACGCACTGGCACCTAGAGCAGCAGCCTCACAAGCACCTAGCGCAGCAGTACCAATGCCCGGGTCGGGCTGGAAACACCGGTAACCCTCATTCTCCTCACTATAAGTCACAGCATACATAGCAGCAAGGATAGCATCAAAATCAAGATCAAAGATCGCTACACCAGCCCTAAGAAGATCATCCCAGCGAGGGATCTCACTAGCCCCGGGGAACTGCTGACGCCAAGCGTCCGTCAGGCGGCCAAAGCAGCGCTGGGTGGCGTGGGCACCCCCACACTGCTCACCCGCGCGGTCGCCGGAACGAAGAACGTAGGTGCAGGGACCAGTACCCCCACCCCTCTGACGCCCAGCGTACCACTCACGAAGCTGCTGAGGCGGAGGGATGTCCCGCGAGCGCTGCTGCTGCTGCCGCTGCGAGCGCTGGCCACCACCACCGCCGCTACGCTGCTGGGTACCTCGACCAGCTCCACCTCCTCCACCACCACCGCCTCCTCCGCTGCCGCCTCCACCGCCTCCACCTCCGCCGCCTCCACCTCCGCCGCTGCCTCCACCACCACCGCTGCCACCACCACCACCGTCGCCGCCGCTGCTGCCACCACCACCACCACCCCCGCCACTAGTCCCGCCGCCACCCCCACTCCCTCCGCCGCCACCGCCGCCACCGCCACCACCCCCTCTAGCTCCACCCGCGCCCTTGCCCCCCTTGCCCTTGCTGGAGCGACGTCTCCCACTAGGGGCAGACGCCGCGCCGACCGACTCAAGACCAAGCAGGTCGGCAGCAGCAGCAGAGGCAACAGAGGGCAGCAAGGGGGAAGGAGAGCACCCCTCAAAGATGGGGGTGCGAGGGTCACCACGAGAAGCACCTACAGCGACTATGCTCTTCTCCGCTGCGAGGAGGGCCTTCTCGAGGAGGTCGACGGTGAGGGTGGTGGGACAGACTGCAAGAAAGTGGTCCCTGACTACGCGAAGGGAGTCAGGGAGGCGCGCGACTACGTAGTAGAGAGCGATGTACATGGGGGGTGGGTTCTTAGCACAGAACTCAGCAGGAAGGGCGGCGCGGTAGCGAGTGTCACTAGTGCGGAGGTGCGTAATGAGGTCAGCGACTGTGGGAAAGGCAGCAAGGTCAGGAAAGAGGTACGGTAGCATGAGACGGCTCAGTGCAGCAGTGGCAGGGGAGGAGTAGCGCGCAACTACAGCGTCGTACAAGGTCTGAGCACTCTTGTACTGACTAAAGTGCGTACGCTCAGAGGTAGGGAGGTGGCGACGCACAGCAAGACGTGCAGCAGCATCGCGGGTGGCCCACTGAGAGCGCACAGTGGGATCAGCATCAGCAGCAGGAGCAGGAGAGGCGCCAGAGGTGAGGTCAAGGAGAGAAAGGCCGTCAGCCCTGTCGCACTGTAAGAACAGCTGCAGGTCGTCTAACCAGACCTCAAAATCAATGGCGCGACCCTCAGCGTCAAAAGCTAGGACACTAGGGGTAGCCATGGCGACGTCAGCGAAGCAGTGCAAGCAGTAGGGAAAGAGCTCGCAGTGACAGTGGGACTGTGCTTACCAGGCAGGGCAGGTCGTGCAGCTCTGCAGAAAGGCGGCTCGGCGACCGGGCGGCTCGGGTGCACAGCGGCTCGGCTCCCGGGCGGCTCGGCGGCAGGGCGGCTCGGGCGCAGGGCGGCTCGGCTCCCGGGCGGCTCGGCGGCAGGGCGGCTCGGGTGCAGGGCGGCTCGGCTCCCGGGCGGCTCGGCGGCAGGGCGGCTCGGGTGCAGGGCAGCTCGGGTCCCGGGCGGCTCGGCGACAGGGCGGCTCGGGCGTTGGGCGGCTCGGCTCCCGGGCGGTTCGGCTGCACTGCCGCCCGACTGCTGAAGGTGTGGCGGCGGGGCCGCGTGAGAGAGCCGGGGCGGGGCCGCGTGAGGGCCGGCGGCGGGGCCGCGTGAGAGCCGGGGCGGGGCCGCTTGAGAGCCGGGTAGGGGCCGCGTGAGGGCTGGCGGCGGGGCCGCGTGAGAGCAGGGGCGGGGCCGTTTCAGAGCCGGCGGCGGGGCCGCAAAAGAGCCGGCGGCGGGGCCGCTTGAGCGCCGGGGCAGGGGCCGCAGGAGAGCCGGCGGCAGGGCCGCGTAAGAGCCGGGACGGGGCCACGGAAGAGCCGGGGCGGGGCCGCGACAGAGCCGTCGGCGGGGCCGCGTGAAAGCCGGGGCGGGGCCGCGTAGGAGCCGGGGCGGGGCCGTGTGAGAGCAGGCAGCGGGGCCGCGTAAAGGCCGGGGCGGGGCCGCGACAGAGTCGGCGGCGGGGCCGCGTGAGAGCTGGCGACGGGGCCGCGTAAGGGAGGGCGGCGGGGCCGCGTCAGTGGAGGCGGCGGGGCCGCAGGGGAAATGGCGACCCGAGGGGTCGCTAAAAAAAATCGCGCCTCGGGGCGCGCTTCGGTGGGCCAAAAAAAAACGGTCCTTAGAAGGACCCGCTCTATACCATGTGAGAATAAGCGAACAGGAATGAGTGAACTAGCAGTGAAAAATGAGTACAAGTAGGAAACCCTAGAATTGTGTACCCCCTATAGGCTAACCCACTGTAGCCTACACAAGCATAACATATATAATGTTTGACAACTATAGCCTACACAATATTATAATTTGACACACCCCCATAGGCAAAGTGGGGGAGAATAAGGGGTCACAAGACCAGTCAAGCAAAGCAAAGCAAACCTCAGGGTGGATCACAATGTCACCACACAATCCGAGCACAAGGTCAAGGCCACAAGGCCAGTTCACATGCAAGAGCAGGTATATATAAATATATATATGTAAGAGTACAAGCAAGGTCAAGGGGTGAGCAAGTGAGGCAAGACAGGCACAAGACCCAGCTGAGTGCAGAAGCGCGGATGATCACAAGGCGGAAGTGCCTTGGTGAAAACATCAGCAGTGTTGGCCTCAGAGGCCACGTACGCAAGCCGCAACTAACCACGCTGCTGTAGTTCACAAGCAAGAAAGTAGCGAAGAGCAATGTGCTTTGTTCTGTTCTCCGGTCTTTGCTCTCGACACAAGGCCAGCATGGCCTTGTTGTCTACGTACAGCACTGGAGGAGAACGAGGCGGCTCTCCAAGGTCGGTCAGTAGGTAGGTGAGCCAGCGAAGCTCCTGTGCAGCCATGGCCCCGGCGTAGATCTCAGCCTCATAACTGGAGCCGAGAACAGAAGACGAGCGACTAGCCCGCCACGAAAAAGAGCCGGAACCAAGGCTGAAGGTGTAACCCTGTGGCGACCGCTGCGTAGCCTGGTCGTCAGCCCAAGAAGCGTCCGTATGCCCAGTGAGGACCACTGGACTCCGCCCTCCAAGCACTAGCCCCATGCACGACGTACTGCACAAGTAGCGCAACACCCTCTTCGCTGCAGCCATGTGCTCTGGTCTGTATCTCCTAGGAGCAACATAGCGTGCAAGAATGCTAAGAGGGTATGCAAGGTCAGGTCGTGTGCAGGTCATCAGGTACATGAGGCAGCCAACAAGTTGTGGGTACGGGCCACTCGACTCTACGGACTCATCCAAAGGGAGAGCTGAGAGCGAGTGGCGAGTAGACAGAGGAGTGGCCTGAGGCAAGGAGTACGTGAAGGCGAAGCGCTGAAGGACCTGCTGCACCATGTGTGATTGAGTCAGGGTAATGGTGCAGCGTGCTCTGTCCCTGGTGATCTGCAAGCCAAGGTAGCTGCGCAGTTCACCCAGGTCTGTGCACGTGTGTCTCTTCTGCAGCTCCGACTTCACGTGGGCGAGTCCAACAGTGTCAACAGTGGCAAAGACCAAGTCGTCGATGTACATGAGGATGTAGAACGGCAGCAGAGAGGTGTCGGTGCGCAGAAACAACGACGGGTCAGCAGTAGAGGGAGCAAACCCAAGAGCCGCAAGCGTAGTCCTCAGTGTGTCGTGCCACTCGCGCGGTGCGTGGCGGAGACCGTAGACTGGCCGTCGAAGGCTCCACTGGGTGCTAGGAGGGAAAGTCCCAGTGAAGCCAGGTGGACGGCGCAGCCAGATCTCCTCGTGCAGGCTACCCTGCAGGAAAGCAGTGTTGAAGTCAAGGGAGTGAAGCTCGTAGTCAAGCTGAGCGGCTATGTGTAGTAGCACCCAATGAGTGGTCATCTTCGGGGTGGGAGAGAAGGTCTGAAAGTAGTCAACTCCCTGCCGCTGACTGAAGCCATGAGCCACGTACCGCGCCTTGAAGACAGGTGGAGAGCCCGGTGGCCGCTTCACCCTGAAGATCCACATGCCACTGACGATGTTCGCCCCAGGAGGGGGAACCGCGTCAACGTAGGTGCCTGTGGACTTCCAAGAAGCCATCTCTGCATCCATAGCTGCCTGCCACTGAGAGGAGTAGGGACCCTCTACGACCTCCGCGTAAGAGCGTGAAGTGGGGATGTCAAGTGCATCCGGGTCTCCCTCAGGGGTAAGCAGTACGGACGCGAGATGAGGTGAAGCAGCAGCCAGACACTGGAACTCCTCCTGCCTGTCCTCAAGGACGTCCGTGCCAAGAGCACACTCACCCCCGACGGACGGAGGACAGACAGACGCTGACTCAGCAACAAGACTAGCACCGTAGTCTAGACAACAAGGAGCAGCAAAGTCGACAAGCTCAGCAACAAGAGCAGACGCAGCAGTGGACTCAAAAAAGGGGTTAGTGACGACAGTAGCAAGGAGACGCGTGACAGTAGGACTGGCAGCACGAAGAGAGTCCGACTCTAGGTCGGCAAGCTCAGGAAGAGAGGACTCAGGAGGAGAAGGCAAAGGGACACGCAGAGGAGCAGTGGTTAAACGTAGAGACATCTGGTATGTGCCACGGATAGGAGGAGGACGCTGACGCGAACCGCGACCACAAGCGCGAGCAGCACAAACAGGCGACGTAGGACGAGACGTAGGCTCATGACGCTCAGCGAGACCTCCAGTAGGACCAGCGTAGGGAGAGGGATCGGGCACTGGGGAGGCCGGCGGTAATTGTGACTGGGACTGGACAGGCTGTGGACACTCTAAGCGAGGAGGAAGACTAAGAACCTGCCGAAGGAGCGGAACGAAGTACGGCTGAGGCCGCGCAGGGATGCCAGCCACAGCAGGGACAGCACCAGCAACCTCAGCACCTCCAGCACCCTCAACACCTCTGGCAGCACCAGCACTAACAGCACCTCCAGCTGCAGTACCTCCAGCAGCTCTAGCAGCACCCGCAGCGGGACCGCCGTCATGACGGAAAGCAGTAGCCTCAGCGCGAACACCCTCAGCAGCTCCAACTCCAGTCGGACGAGCACCTCCAGGACCAGCGGCACCCGCACCCACAACGGCGGAAGAAGCTCCAGCTCCAGCAGTACGCCTCTAGTGCCGGGCAAACCACTCGCATAGCTCCTGTGGAGAGAATGGCTCCCGCCAAGAAGAACCACGAGAACCGCCAGGCCCAGCACCGCCAGACGCCACACGAGCAGGTTTAGCGGCTCCTGGCTTCGCACCCCCAGTCGCAGCAGCTTTAGACGCAGCACCCCCAGGCGAAGGACCCCCACGCTCAGCACCCTTAGTCGTAGCACCCCCGGGCTCAGCACCCCCAGTCGCAGTACCGCCACGCTCAGCACCCCCAGTCGTAGCACCCCCAGGCTCAGCACCCCCAGTCGCAACACCCCTAGACTCAGCAACCCCAAGCTTAGCACCCACGCGCGCAGCACGTCCCGAGTCAGCACCCCCAGGCTCAGCACCCGCAGCAGTACCAGAGTCACTACCAACCTCGACCGGCTCGACCGCGTCTACCTGGGACACACCTGAAGGGGCAGGACCCTGAGGGGGGAGGGGGTCTACCGGGTGGGGGGGCTGGCACAAGGGAATGCGGTGGCGGGGGGAGGGAAGGAGTGCGGTACAGGAAGAGGCGGTAGTAGGGGACTTACTCGTCGAACGTGACGTCCTGGGAGGATAGAACACGACGAGTGGTGGGGTGGTAGAACTGCCACCCAGGGGCGTCAAGGGGGAAGCCAAGGAAGACACAGGGAGCAGCACGAGGGGACATCTTGTCCGCAGACAAGTCGCGGACAAACCCCCGAGATCCCTAGACATGGAACGCAGATGCATCGCCGACCTTCCCCGACTACAGCAAGGCTGGGGAGGTCTCCGGCCTGGAGACCCTGGGGTGAAGGTTGATCTGATGCGCCGCGTACCGAACCGCAAACGGCCACAGAAAATGGGGGGCAGCCGCATGCATCATGGACGTACGAGCAACGTCCATGACCATGCCAATGCGGCGCTCAGCAATCCCATTTTGCTCTGGAGAGTCCGGAAACGTAAAGGTCTGGCGGATGCCTCGCGCACGACAGTAGGCTCACGGAAGGCCAGAGGAGACCTCTCCGCCTCGGTCAGAGTGCAGACGCAGAATAGGAAAGTCCGAGCCGAAGCTCCTCCTGAGCTGGAATCGAGCTGCGCGGATCCAAACGATCAACACCTCAGTGACACCACCCTTGCTGCGCAAGGGGAAGAATGTGGTGTAACGCGAGTAGTCGTCAACCACCAGTAGGAAGTAGCGCTCGTGACCCTGTCCATGGACGCGGGCCGGGCCCCACACGTCCATTTGAAGCGTCTGCAGCGGGGCCTCTGTCGGGGGAAACTAAGAGGAGTGAGGGGCAGCCCGGAGCCGCCCCTCGACACTAGGGACGCAGTAAGGACCAGGCCCTGGAGAAAGGGGAGGGAGGGACCGGGGAAGACCAGAGACAAGGACTCAGGAAGCCATGCCTCGGAGACGAGGCAGGGAGGGGTGACCAAGACGGTGGTGCCATAGGAGAGTCTCGTGAGACAGGGGGCGACACGAGCAGGGGGCAGACTCAGGACCAGACCTGGACGCTGCAACAAACACCTGACTCGACCAGCTACCTGGCCAGACGCAGGGACAAGAGGAGACTCAGTGGTCAGGGTGTAGAGGCTCGACCCCGGCCGACGCGAAAACGTGGCCGAGTGTCGGCCTGTGCGGGCGTCCGAGCAGTGGGTCACCTGCTGACTCGCAGGAGTAAACAGGTGAACCCCCGCATCCTGCAGGTCAGCACCACTCACCAAGTTCGTCGAGAACAAGGGGAGGTAAAGACCAGACAAGGTGCCAAGGGGGGCAGCCGGACACGGGAGGACAGTAGAGAAGTGAGAGAGGACAGGACCCCCAGAGGGGTCTACGAGGGGGACTGCAACCGGCCGACCAAGCGGCGTGAGTGTGGTGCGGTCTCGAAAGAAGGAGCGAGAAGCCCCTGAGTCAAGTGTGAAGGTGAGGGAGGCCGAAGCCGACGCAGTACGTGAGAGCGCAGCCTCACCAGTACCTGAGGGCGCAGACGCGCTGGCACCTAGAGCAGCAGCCTCACTAGCACCTAGCGCAGCAGTACCAATGCCCGGGTCGGGCGGGAAACACTGGTAACAGTCACCCTCATCACTAATAGTCACAGCATATATGGTAGCAAGGATAGCATCAAAGACAAGATCATAGATAGCCACACCTGCCCTAGACAGCTCTCCCCAGTGGGGGATCTCACTAGCCTCCGAGAAGTGCTGACGCCAAGCGTCCGTCAGGCGGCCAAAGCAGCGCTGGGTGGGGTGGGCACCCCCACACTGCTCACCCGCGCGGTCGCTGGAGCAAAGGACGTAGGTGCACGGACCAAAACCCCCACCCACGCTGACGCTGCGTGTACCACTCACGGAGCTGCTGAGGAGGGGGGATGTCCCGAGAACGCTGCTGCTACTGCTGCTGCTGGCGCTGACCACCACCGGAGCCGCTCCACTGTGAAGCACCACCCCGACGAGCTCCACCTCCTCCACCACCGCCGCCTCCACCTCCGCCACCTCCGCCGCCTCCGCTCCCACCGCTACCGCCTCCGCCGCCTCCGCCTCCGCTGCCGCCACCGCCACCTCCACCCCCGCCACCACTCCCACCGCCACCCCCACTCCCTCGGCCGCCTCCACCGCCACCTCCACCACCCCCGCTAGCTCCACCCGCGCCCTTGCCCCCCTTGCCCTTGCCAGAGCGGCGTCTCTCGCTAGGGGCAGACGCCGCACCGACCGACTCAAGACCAACGAGGTCGGCCGCAGTAGCAGAGGCGACAGAGGGCAACAAGGGGGAAAAGGAACACCCCTCAAAGATGGGGGTGCGAGGGTCACCACGAGAGGCTCCTACAGTGACTATGCTCTTCTCCGCTGCTAGGAGGGCCTTCTCTAGGAGGTCAATAGTGAAAGTGGTGGGACAGACTGAGAGGAAGTGGTCCCGGACTATGCGAAGGGAGTTAGGGAGGCGGGTGACTATATAATAGAGAGTGATGTACATGGGCCAGGGGGGGTTCTTGGCGCAGAACTCAGCAGGAAGCGCGGCGCGGTAGCGAGTGTCACTAGTGCAGAGGTGCGTAATGAGGTCACCGACTGTGGGAAAGGCAGCAAGGTCAGGAAGAGGTACGGTAGCATGAGGCGGCTCAGTGCAGCAGTGGCAGGGGAAGAGTAGCGCGCAACTACAGCGTCGTACAAGGTCTGAGCACTCTTGTACTGACTAAAGTGCGCGCGCTCAGTGGTAGGCAGGTTGCGACGCACAGCAAGACGTGCAGCAGCATCGCGTGTGGCCCACTGGGAGCGAAGAGTGGCGTCAGCGTCAGCAGCAGGGGCAGGAGAGGCGCCAGAGGTGAGGTCAAAGAGGGAGAGACCGTCTGCCCTATCGCACTGTAGGAAAAGCTGCAGGTCATCTACTCAAACCTCAAAGTCAATGGCTCGACCCTTAGCGTCAAAAGCGAGAACACTAGGGGTAGCCATGACAGCAGTAGACTAGCAGTACCAACTATAGGGCAGGGGCAGTCAGTGACAGAAGCGCTGCTCTCACCAGACAGGGCGGTTCGGGCAGCTCAGCAGTACAGCAACACGGCAACACGGCTGCTCGGACGGCGCAGCAGCAACTGCGGCTCCGTGGCACCAGCGGCTCGGCTCCTCAGGCGGCTCGGGCTGCTCGGGTGGCTCGGGCGGCTCAGGCGGCTTGGGCGGCTCGGGCTGGGTGGGCGGCTTGGGCGGCTCGGGCGAGTCGGGCGGCTCGGGCGACTTGGGTGGCTCGGGCAGGTCGGGCGGCTCGGACGGCTCGGGCGGCTCGGGCAGCGCAGGCGGTGTAGGGCGGCAGGGCCGCTGGTGAAAGGGGTGGCGGGGCCGCAGTGAAGGGGCGGCAGGGCCGCTGGTGAAGGGCGGCGGGGCCGCTAAGGTGGGCAGCGGGGCCGCTGAGAAGGGCGGCGGGGCCGCAGTAGAAGGGCGGCGGGGCCGCTGAGTAGGGCGGCGGGGCCGCAACGAGAGAGGCGGCAGGGCCGCAGCGAAGGGCGGCGGGGCCGCTGAGACAGGCGGCAGGGCCGCTGAGACGGGTGGCGGGGCCGCTGAGACGGGCAGCGGGGCCGCAGCGAAGGGCGGCGGGGCCGCAACATGAGGCGGCGGGGCCGCAGCGAAGGGCGGCGAGGCCGCGAAGAAGGGCGGCGGGGCCGTTGAGACGAGCGGCGGGGCCGCAGCGAAGGGCGGCGGGGCCACAATATGAGGCGGCGGGGCCGCAGCAAAGGGCGGCAGGGCCGCGAAGAAGGGCGGCGGGGCCGCAGCGAGAGAGGCGGCGGGGCCGCAGCGAAGGGCGGCGGGGCCGCTGAGACGGGCGGCGGGGTCGCAGCAAAGGGCGGCGGGGCCGAGTCGACGGGCGGCGGGGCCGCTAGGGCGTTGGGGGCCGCTAGGGCGGCTCGACGAGGTGAGAGCCCGGAGCGCGCTTCGGGCAGGAAAAAAAAAACTCGATGTGGTGGGCCCTAGGCACAGTTCCGACGGGGGAACCTGCTCGATACCATGAGGAAAGTAGAACGAGAATGAATGACTAAGGAATGGAAGTGATACAAATGTGCAACCCTAGAAATGTGTACCCCATATAGGCTACCCCACTATAGCCTACACAATATTATAATTTGACAATTTCCTTCTGTTGGAAAAGGTAAGCTCCTATCCTAGTACATCCAGATTTGCGCGGTTGTTTCAAGGAGTTCGAACTCGAAGCTCCACGTGTAGAAGACTTTTCCATCAAATGGAGTTGAATTATTCAGCTTTAATGTCAGAATGGACTTTGTTTGCATGGTTGCAATTGATTCTGACTGTGCATGTTGCTAAATGTCGTCCGCAAGAGCTGAAGCTTGACAGTTGTCAAATATGAAGGACCTCTCGGAGTTGACGCAATAGTCTTCTCTTGTGAGAGGTAGTCCAGCAACTCCTCTAGCATAGCTTGAGCCATCGATGCTCATTTCTTGATGGCACTCAAGAGCTTTGATGCAAGCAACGAGTTGCTCAACGATGGCAGCATTGATGGAGGTCACCGCTGATGGAACATTAGTCGTTGCTACTGGTGGGCTCGGAGAGTCTGTAGTAGCTTTTCCTTTAGGAGCCATAGTGATACAGACTCGTAACAGCTATTTATTAAGGATGACTTAATAAGGAGTTGTCATGGGAAGAACAAGAACTTGGAAGATCTTATAATCCACTCTAGGTCTCATACCATAATGATATAACCAAGAATCGTAGTGGATAGGATATGCTAGCCAAGTTGTGAGAAGGCAATTGAAGTCTTTGTAATGATCTTGTTGATAATAATTGAAAGAGATGATTTATGATAAGAAAAGAAGAAATTCAATAGCAATCCTAGCTAGTCATGTACTCTGAAGGGCACATTCCCTTATTAACTGATATCATTGCTACAGTAACTGCGACTATTGCTATGCTTGACAGTTACTGGGTTACATTGTGTAACTATCGAGTATGGTTACCGGGCGGTCAAGAGTCGCGGCCGTTGATTACCTGCGACTGTTGACATTCGAGTGACTTTCAAGCTGCCGCATGCTCCCTATGAGCTTAACGCGATACTGGTACAGGTGCGCTATCTCGTTATGAGACGATGCGCTAGGATAAGCCTTCGAGAATGTTTTAATAATTATCGATTATTCCAACAATCGATACAGTATAGAAATAGAAACTTTTATAGTGGGAGAAAGACTAAGATGTGAGGAAGGGTTCAGGCAAGATTTGGGTGCCGAACTATGCCCGCTTCAACAGATCTTACTGGAGGAGTTTCACAACATAGCACACCCGAGACATTTCGAGAGTAACAAGACGTTAGCGAGCATAGCAACGTATTATTACTGGCCTCGAATGGTAGGTGACGTGCAGCTGTTCGTCACATCATGCGACACGTGCCAGCAGATGAAGAGTAGCAAGCAAAAAAAAGCAGGATTACTTCAGCCTCTACCCGTACCGGAGCAGCCATGGCAAGTTGTTAGTCTCGACTTCATCATTGGACTTCCTTCGACCTCACAAGGGCATGACACTATACTCGTGGTGATCCATAAGTTCTTCAAAATGGGACACTCATCCCGACCAATGCCATAGCTACATCTGAATACAACTGCTCGCCTCTTCTTGGCTGCATCATCACCATCCACGGCATCCCCACTACAGTCATCTGAGATAGAGACCCAAAATTCACTAATAAGTTATGGACGGAACTCATGTGTTTGTTGGAGACAAAACTTGCAATGTCTTCAGCATACCACCCCCACACTGACGGGCAGACCGAGCGACTCAATCAGGTGGTTGAACAGTTATTGCGCACAACTTGCAAGGATAACATCAGCCACTGGGATCTACAGTTACCGACCCTGGAGTTTGCTTAAAACAATGTGTCACATGCGGCTACTGAAATCTTTCAGTGCTATGGACGAGGACCACTTACACCGCAGCAGCCAACCACACTGGCACACATCCAAGCCGCACATGACTTTGTCACCACCATGTAGCAGCCATAGGAGAAGACTCAGCGACGTCTCGCCACGATGCAAAACTCCCAGAAGCAAGATGCTGATCGGCATCGACGTGATCACTTGGTAGCAATGGGAGATCAGGTGCTCCTCGACGCACGCAACTTTGACTTGTCTCACCTTCCGTCCAAGCTCCAGCCTCGTTTCCTTGGTCCCCTTCACGTTGAGGAAAAGGTCACACCAGTAATATTCCGCTTGCGCTTACCTTCTACATGGAAGCTTCACAATGCTTTCCATATTCAGCTACTGAAGCCCCACAAGGAACCCAACCACCAGTTCACAAGATGACAGCTACCGCCACCTCCCCCTGTTCTTGTACAGGATGAACCTGAATGCGAGGTGGAACGCGTTCTTACTCATTGACGCGGCGAGGCACGTGTCAACGGGAGTCGTTGTGAGGCCCCGTCCTCGCTTGGGCGGAGCCGACTTAGTGGTCGGGTTGTCAAAATTAGAAGAAAGAAAGGGGGTTGAACTAGCAAGAATGAGGATACAAATAGCAAACCCTAGAAGGGTTGTACTCGCTATAGAGCACCCCACTACAGGCTAGAACAAAAATATAATATTCTGACACACCCCCATAGCCAAAGTGGGGTGTAATTAGCAGAGCAAGCAAAGCAATACAAGCTCAGGGTGGATCACAATGTCACCACACATTCTGAGCACAAGTTCAAGAAGAAATAGTTTAGAGTTCACAATTATGAGCAAAGCTAGTGGTAGTCACAACGGGCAAGTGAGGAGGAGGAGGGAGAGTGAGGGGAGAGGAGATAGGAGGCGACGGCTGAAGCTGAAGACACACGGGCAACAGGAGGCAGACTGGCACAGCGGCTACCGGACAGCGCCTGGACTACAGGAGTAACAGGCCCCGCGGCTCAAGTAGCGGCAGACGGGCAACGGACCCACGGGCGGCTGGCGTAGAAGTCTAGCTCACTGGGCTACCGGGACAGCGCCCCGGACTACAGGTGCTGCTGACGACAAATTGGCAACCTCCGCTCATCCTCCCGCACACAGTCCCACCCCCCTGATACACACCCACTGCTACACCGCTAGCTCTACTCCCACGCACCCCCCTTAAACCCTAAACCCCTGTCTCCCACACAACCACCCCCCTCAGCGACAGCTGCAGCAGTGGGAGACGAAGGAGGAGGAGGAGCAAAGGGAGGAAAGTACACCGGCCACCCCCATACCCGCCACCCCACAGCTCCCCCGAAGGAGCCGCGACGGGCGACGGGAAAAGGGGGGAGGGGAGAAAGGGGGGGGGGGGCACCACGGACCTGAGGGGAGGGCGGGGCCGCGACAAGGGGCGGGGCCGCGACGAGGGGCGGGGCCGCGACGGTCGGGGCGGGGCCGCGACGTAGGGCGGGGCCGCTTCGAGGGGCGGGACCGCGACGTAGGGCGGGGCCGCGACGTAGGGCGGGGCCGCTTCGAGGGGCGGGGCCGCTACGCAGGGCGGGGCCGCGACGTAGGGCGGGGCCGCGACAGGTCGGCGGCGGGGCCGCGACGTAGGGCGGGGCCGCGAAGGTAGGGCGGGGCCGTGACGAGGGCGGGGCCGTGAAGTTGGGGCGTGGCCGCGAAGGGTCCGCGTCGCGCGTCGCGACGCCTCTAGAAGGCGACGTGGTGACCGACGGGGCAGAAGCCCGCCGCGCGCCTCGGGGCGCACAGCGGGCAGAGAACCGCCGCGCGCCTCGGAGCGCACGGCGGGCAGAAAACCGCCGCGCGCCTCGGGGCGCACGGCGGGCAGAAAACAGCCGCGCGCCTCGGGGCGCACGGCGGGAGGACAGAGTAGCAGCGGAAGCGAGGTGGTAACCCACCCACAGGATCGATCCAAGGGGATCGACCTGCTCTGATAGCATGTCAAAATTAGAAGAAAGAAAGGGGGTTGAACTAGCAAGAATGAGGATACAAATAGCAAACCCTAGAAGGGTTGTACTCGCTATAGAGCATCCCACTACAGGCTAGAACAATAAGATAATATTCTGACACGGGTGTGAGGAGAGCAGCTGACCTGCAGCAGTGGGCGAGCTGGTCGACAGGGCTAGTCGACCTGCACGGGGGCCACTCCACGAGCGTTGACTTGGCGACGCCAACTTGGAGCAGCCGGCTTGGATGGCCGACTGACCAGATTGCTAGTTGACCAAGTGTTGGTTGACCAGAAGTGGTGTCGTCTTGGTGGTCGACCAGGACTAGTGGTCGACGGAGGGGGGGGGCCGACGTCGACCTCGACAAGGGAGGCTGGGGACTCCGAGCTGAAGGGTGTCGAGTAGGACGCCAAGCAGCTGGGCGTCGAGCAATAGGGCGCCGGGGTGGAGGGCGCCGACCTTGGTTGGACGACGACTTGGCGGAGCCGGTGGCCTAGTCCCGTCGTGGTCGACGAGGGGACGCCGACCTGACGGTTGCCCGGTCGACCGGGATACCCGGGCGATGTGTGCGAAGGTCGCTGGGGTGGTTCTGCGAGGACGACCTCGGAAGTGGTATCCCGAGGTCGACATGGCTGGTGGGTGCAGTCGCTGATGTGGAGTCAACCTGGGCGTCTGCACTGTGCACGTGATGAGGAGTGGTGCACCAACCAGCTGCGTGCACCTGCGAAGCAGGTG